CTAGATCAGCTGGAAGCGCCGCGGTCTGGCCCGGGTCCTGCGCCGCTTTGGTCCCCGTCTCCCTGGTCTGCTGGCTCCCGCAGCAGACCAGGGAGATGGGGAGCAGCTTTTCTCGCCCAGGAGGAGGCGGGGGGCGGGACCAGGCATCCCGCCGCTCCAGTCCTCCGGGGCGAGAAAATCCCCGTTCGTAACTGCGGATCCGACATAAGTCGGATCCGCGTAACTCGGGGACTGCCTGTACTACCTTCTCAAACCAAACAAAGCAAGACGATTGATAAATCCCATCTATCATTTTGCTATACAAAATTGACCCATTGTACAAAAATATGAACAGAAATTGGGTACTAAAAAAGAGGTCTGTATCAAATCTATTTTATACCCAAATGATCATCAAGAGCCAAATACTACAGAATAATATTACTAGAGATTTTAGATATGGGGATATTAAATTTAGTTTGATCATTCCATCTAGTTGATGGATTTCCATTGATTAGTTGATAAGCGGGGAAGCCACAGCGGGGTTAGTTCCTCGCCCGGGAGCTAACCCTGTTATGGCTCTTTTTAAATGGATTAAGAACCTGTCTTCAAAAAGAAACAAACATTCAGAAGAAAAGGGTTATAGTTGGAACAAATACTATTGAATTATATGATGATCAAATGTAATGCATTCATGTTACTTACCCTGCTGAATCCAAGTTTCCATGGTTCTTTTTTTAACATCTCATCTAATTTTGGTAGTATCTCATTTTGAGGAAAAGCTTTTTCATCAGTTTTGCTGTTCTGTTTTGTCACTCTAACCCAGCTCACACCCTTTATGATATTGCAAAAATGATATGGCAGAAGTCTTGGCAGGAACTCCATTATCATTGGGAAATTCAAAGCTACCAAAGCAGTCTTTCCTGTAACTACATATCCATCACAAATCAAGAAAATATAAATACAAAGAGTGTTGGTAAAATGCAATTACTTATATTAGTAAGCTTTATTTAAAAAAAAATTCAATAGAACTGGTTCTTTATTTTTTCTGTCTGCAAAGCTTTTGTATATACACTATTGATATGAGTAAGATTACTACAAGATTAAAAATATTTTCCATTTTGATTAAATTGTGCAGTTGACATTTTATAAGTAGTCAGTTTCACATTAGTAATCAAGTCTACCTTCCTTGATGTGTGCACAACATTCACAGTATACACATAAACCTAGTAATCACCCATTCTTCAGTTCAATCAAATATCAAGTTCAGCAGAACTGCCAGCACTTTTGAGTGAAATGGAAGTTAATTTTTAACAGATCTTCCTTTAAGTGGGTTCCTCTATTACATTTTTTCTCCAGCTGATTTCTGTTCTATCTGTAGGGTACAGGGCCCAGCTCATACAAAGACTTACACATATATGCTTAGCTTCAAACATGTAGAGGAGTTCCCTTTATGTGCCCAGGAAAAATCTTTTCAGGTTCAATGGTCATTTAAAAACACACATTACAAGCACAGTAGCATGGATAAAAACATCTTAAAAATAATTCAGTGTTTTATTTGTATAAGCCAGTGATATATAAATTATACTTACATGACTGCATAATATAATAAAAAATATCAAAATCTTTGGTTTTCATTGATTTGTTCCCTTTCTGAAGATTTAATTTTGACTCTTGAAACTGATTTAATTTTTCTTCAAGGTTTCTGAAATTCAGGACAGGTCTCTGAGGAAAACTCATAAATTCTTTTATGAAAGAATCAGGAACACCACACTCGTTAAAAAAGAGTGAAAAAACTGCATTTTGGTTTTCCCTTATATCAGTTCGTAGGAAGTAGGATGGATATCCTTGCACAAAATACTTCGATTGCACGCATTTAACTTTAACATGAACTTTCCACCAGGCGCCGACTAATGGAAAATTGCCCACCACGTTATACATCTTTTGGGATCTTTCATCTTGTATTATAACTGAAATATAAAAATATCAGTTACATTTAAAAAAAAATCTTTATTGCATTTTGCATAACAAATTCTCTAATGAAAAACAAATAAATATTTTTTCAGATGTAATTTAGTTATAATCCTCTTAGGTACTGCTTTTAACATTAGCAAATAAAAAGAGAAAAAGAAAAAGAAGAAAAATATCTCAGACATAAGCCTTATTTTTAAATAAATTGATTATGTTTCTGTGACTAAAGTCAACAATACATTTAATAATTTTCTGGTATGAATATTTGTATAAGCAGTTAAAGCAGCTTACTAATGGTCAGATTTTGCCCTATTTAATGTAAAATTGTAATTAATTTATTAATGATATGCTTAAAACAAGTTTTAACTTCATTATTTAAAAAAAAATGGCAATATCTAGTCTCCAGAATAACAGAGTTCTATTCTAGGACCTTTTAATTACCTTAAAGAACACACAACCTCTTGCCTATGTTATAGCTATATACAATGATAAACTTCGTTATTCCAGACATCCAAAGCAGAGATTTTGCATATCTCAGAGCTACCACTATGTAAGGACAGACAAATAGGAAAAAGTAAGG